TGTACGTGGGACACGGCCTCAGCATGGCCGGAGAAGCGGTGCGTCGGTGCGTGCCCGGGATCCGAACCCGGGCCGCCAGCAGCGGAGCGTGCGCACTTAACAGCTAAGCCACGGAGCTGGCCCCACAATTGTAATTTCTTACAATTAAAATTACTGCACTGCCTCAAAAACTTTGTGGAACTTTGAGTCAGACTATCAATAAATAATTAAAGAATTAAAAATCAAAGTGTGGGCCTGGCCCCATGGCCTGGTGGTTAAGTTCGGCATGCTCCACTTCGGCAGCCTGGGTGCACAAGTTTGGATTCCAGGCGCGGACCGACACCACTCGTCAGCCGTGCTGTGGCGGGGACCACATACAAAATAGAAGATGACTGGCACAGGTGTTAGCTCAGGGTGAATCTTCCTTAGGAAAAACAAAAGTCAGAGTGTGTCTGGGGTTCAATTTTGTTACAAACAAAACAGTGTTCTCTAAAAACTGGTGGAATTTTTGTTAAAAAACAAACTAGGAGTTATGCGAGATTGCGTACAATTGATTAACTGTAAGTCCACCCATTGCCACCAGACAACACTGAGGTGTTATTTTATCCTGCAGAGCGCACAGAGAAGCTTTGTCTTAGGAATCCTAGGAATCCTGGGAAGCTGTCGTGAACATTTCTTTCTGGTATACAATGTAACTATGGACTGACTCCTCCTCCAGAATAGTGACACATTGTTAGCATAGCTAAATAGTTACCAGAATTTAAGATGGATTTCTAAGATTTTCTTTTTCATCAAAATACATTCATCTCAGAGAAGTATACCTTAACCACAGAGTGCTCCTTTCTTTCTTCGTTTTTCCTTTTTTTCCTAAATAAATGACCTCGTACTAGCTTCCAAGAGCCTTTCGTTTTTCTTCCTTATTGCCGATTCTACTGTTTGTTTTTTCTTTTTTAAATGCTGCAGATGTAGCACTCTGGTTAGACTGAAGTTGTAAAAATCCAAAAAATGGTTGGTCACGTTAGTCACGTGACCCAGAAATGGGATAACTGCCTCATGTATTTATACCACTGGATTATGCATGGAACAGCTGTGTTTGGTTCATCTCTTATTGGCAAATCCCATACACATCCTATTTTGTGTACCATTCGAGAGCCCTGTGGAATCTTTCAGGCCAGGCCTCAGACTTGAACGTCAAGTCCATCCTGACTCTTCCTTACTTGATCTACCCGACACCTCCACCTAAGAACTTGGGAGACAATGTGCAGCGTAATACTTTCCTAGTAACATGTGATTCAAGGACATGCCATACGTTTTTAGTAAACTTTTTATTCAAGTATAACATGTATTTTAAAAATGCACAAATCCTAAGTATACAGCTGGACAAATTTTCACAAAGTTAATACATCCCTGTAACCAGCACCCAATCAAGAAACAGAACAGTGCCTCCCTTGCAAAGCCCCCAGGTACCCCTTCCCAGCATTCCTCTTGCACCAAGAAGCACCCCTGGCCCGACTTGCACACTATAGATTAGTTTTGTCTGATCTTCAGCTTTATGTAAATGGAATCATTTAGTATGTACTCTCTGTGTCTGGCTTCTTTTGCCTGACATTTGGTTTGTGAGGTGTGTCTGTGTTGTTGTGGCTATTCCTTCTCATTGCTGTATAGTATTCCATTGAGCAGATATACCAGTCTCACTGTTGATGGGCGTTTTTGTTGTTTTCAGCATGAGGCTTTTATGAATAATGCTGCTGTTGTAACATTCTTGTGACACAATCTTTTTTATAAAGTGACTATGAACAAAAACTTCTTTCCTCTGCATTTTTTTCTTTCTCTACAGAACACTATTGGAGAATGGCAGACTGTTTTCTGTATCGCTGCTGCTATCAATGTATTTGGTGCCATTGTCTTCACACTCTTCGCCAAAGGTGAAGTGCAGAACTGGGCTCTCAGTGATTACCATGGACACAGAAACTGAAGGAACAATAAATAATTCTCTCATTAATGTATTTTTGTTTATCATGTAACCTAAAAGTGCCTTCAATATTTTAATGTGTAAGCATTCCATGTACAAGAAAAATTGTACTTGTATTAAATTTTTAAGGCTTGTAATCATGAAATGTCCAGATTAGTTGCCAGGTTAGTAAAATTAGCTATTTTTAATTATTAATAAGATGTATGCTGGAACTTACACTTTAGGGTCACATACCTGGCTGCAAGTCAGGCGATATGAAGTAGGGGCATTCTGTTTATTTTTAAGGGCCATACTTAAAGGAATGAGCTGAAATGGATCCCTCTATACCTTTGCTTAATTAAAGTAGATGATAATTCTCAGGTCTTGGTAAACACCTGTTTTTGTCCACTTTCCTCATAAAAATTATTTGTTGCCAGCAATCCCTGACACTTAGGTCTTAAACTTGAGCATCTCCACAGAGCCGCTAGCCGCCGCATAGTTTGGCCTGGCAGCGGCACTGAGGGAAGCGTGCCCGGGCGGTGCCGAGCCTTCGCTCCCAGCTTCAGGGACAGCGCCCAGCAGTCGCCGAGGCAGCGCCCAGACCTTGGACGGTGTTCTTCCCCTGGGGCTGCTCGTGTGTGCTGACAGCCCCGGGCAGGCAGGAGCAGCGGGCTCCACAGCCGTGTCCTCACTATATCCTCACAGCTTCCCTTCCCAGCGCACTGGAATCGTGATTAGCATGTAACGTGCAAAAGAAAAGTGTGAGGCCCAATTAACCACAAATAACATCATCCTTGATTAAAACTACCTTCACATGGATCAGGGTATAAATTTCCAAGTCCTGTGTTCTGTGAGCTACACCAGAGTAAGTAAATTAAGGAAAAAAAAAAAAAAAAACCTCACATTTTCTTCCGTCTACGTGTGAGCTTCTGGTGCAGTTCAAGGTTGAGGTGACTTTTACGTGGCCACATCACCTGCAGCAGTGAGCTAATCCTCTTTACTGCTGGCTCCTGAAGTCATATTTTTCCAGTTTTTTCCTGGACCATCTTCCAGTGGTTTTTGAGCACACTTTGAGGCCATTTATGTGATTTAGAACTTGGTTTATGTTTTGTTGTTCAACACTACCTGTAACATTTTAACTAAAACTGTTGAATGTAATAGGACATGATTACATTTCTGTAAATTTATTTGTAAATTTGTAAATAGCTTTAAGTTGCTATCGTGATATTTCTTTTATAAATCATCAAAATAAACCATTTTGGATTGATGTTTGGATCTGACAGTTCTATGATATTTTCTAGCGTCCACAGTGGCGATTTTACATCATTTCTGCCATCCTCCTCAGGCCACCCGACCACCTCTACATGTGTCTCTGCCAGCACCAGGCTGAGCAGATGTGGGCCGTCTGAGTGACGCAGCACCAGAAATCTGTTGCCATCAGCCTGCCCTTCCTAGTCCTGAGAAGGGTCCACTCCTCTTGCCAAAGGGACATCACTGATCGTATTCTCTCCCACCTCCTTGAAGACCTGACTCCAGTGATTCCTCCAGTAATTTGCTGCTTCAACCTCCACCTCTCTTCTCCTTCTTTTCCTTCTGTCTCAAAGACACACAGGTCTTCTCTAGCTTTTAAAAAACGAAAATACAAAACTCTCCTGGGAACATAAAAACACTTATGTAGGAGCTGGCCCAGTGGCATAGTGGTTAAGTGTGAGCACTCTGCTGCTGCGGCCCCGGGTTTGCAGGTTCAGATCCTGGGCGTGGACCCACGTGCCGCTTGTCTAGCCATGCTGTGGCGGCGTCCCATATAAAGTAGAGGAAGATGGGCACAGCTGTTAGCCCAGGGCCAGTCTTCCTCAGCAAAAAGAGGAGGATTGGCATCAGATGTTAGCTCAAGGCTGATCTTCCTCACACATACAGACACACACAAAAACACTTGTATATACAGAATATCTCTAGAATGATAGTCAAGAAACGAAACAAGGTTACCTCTGGAGAGAGAAAAACAGGCAACCAGGGGTAGGAAGGAGAATTAATTTCACTTTACCAAACGTGGCAGTATAACTTATTCAAATAAAAACGTTTACAAAAACAAAAAACACCTGTTGCTCAAGCTACCATGTGCTCACCACCAGGTTTTCAGCTGCCTGTGGGGCATCCCCAACTGGCTGTCTTCTTTGCACCTGAGACTTGTTTAAATCCAGCCTCACTCCCTCACCCTCATCCCCAATAAAACCAGCTGTTTCTGCCACTTTCCTTATTCCTATTAGAAGTTCCTTTTCCCCAGTCACTTAGGCTGAGCCCTGGAGTCACTTTTTATTCTTCCGCCTCCCTAGTCTCCCACCCCACCCCCAACCCTGTGTGTAATTAACCACCTGTCTTTTCCATTCTAGTTTTTCAAGTCTCCGGGATTTTTTTTTTAATTCCTCTGCCATCTCAATCAGATCTTTGCGGCTTTTGTTTCCACCTGGAACAGAAAAGTTAAGTGGTCTCACTGCATTAGTCTGATCCTCTTCTGTCCAACTTCCCACCAGTGCTGGGTTATCGTGCCCCACGCCTTCATCTCCCTGATCAGGATGTTCCCCCAAGGGGAACCCCCCGGTTTCCCTTTGCCTACCCAATAAAACTTTTAACCCAGCAGCCCACCCTGCTCTCTCTGATCTCTCACCACACCTTGTTGCCTCTACATCTGGCTACTTATCTCTTCCCCGCCGGCTCGCCATTCCCCACGCACCTCATAGCTTTACTCATTTCATTCCTTGGGCCTGGAAGGTTGCTCTTCATCCCCAACTCCTTCATGACCCTTGATTTCTTCCACCCTTCCTGATCTAACTGTGGTCTCTTCCTTTGATCCACTGAAACACCATATTATCTGTTTTGAGTTTTTTTCTTTATCTTAGACTCAAGGGCTCAGGCTCGGTTCTGAGGAAGAGATCATTCATTCATTCATTCAACAAATATGAATATCTCCTCTTTGCTAGGCAATAAGAGTACAGAGATGCTTTCGACACAGTCCTTGCCGGCCCGGAGGCCTCCCTGGAGCTCAGTCAGGTTCCTTGACCCCCTCTCCCCACGGCGTTCTCTTTATAATACACGTGAACACGCATTTGTGCCTGTCTCCCTGTAGGTTCATCACAAGCATCCTGAAGGCAGGGTCCATTTGATTCATCTCAGCACCATCTCCCTCATAACAATATATGCTTTGTCTTAATATTTTAGTTCCTTAATAAATATTTAGTAAATATCTCTTTGGTTAAATGGACTATAAATGGAATTTATATATTGTTTTTTCAATATGTTCTTTTCTTCTCAAAAAAATAAATGTGCCAACACCATTGAATGAAGAAATGATATGCTAACCTCAAAAGAAGTGGCAGTTATTGGTAAAAGGTTTTGAAAATATTTGAGAGTAGCTCAGTTCTATATAGGCAAAATACTTCTCCTCCCAGTTATGCAACAAATATTCACAAGTGTTTGTGACGAGCCAGGCTTCATTCCGTGCACCCGGGATACAGCAGTGAGGAAAAGGCGAATCCCCTTTCTCGTGGAGCTCACATTCTGAGTTATCAAACCCTTTCCTTCATAGGTCCCAGCCTTTGAAAGCTTCCATGTAAAATATCATTATCCCCACCCAACAATCAAACTCAGTAGGAATGAGCATACCAGCTGACCCTGGGAATCAGAGTTGTGAGAGAAAACGAGATGAACACCAAAGTCAGCGGTGCGTGTTGACCACCGTAATATCTCTCTTACTGCAGCCTTTGTTTCACATTCAAGAAATCAGAAATAGAGACGTTTGAATTTAGACCCTGTTGCGAAGTAAATAATCTAATCTCCTCTCTGAGGGCAGCTTATCACTGCTCAAAATAAAATTCCTCCAACAGAAAAATACCAATAGACAATGTAAACGTGAAGGCAGAAAGAGCACTCTAGGAAATGGCCTGGTTCCCCTCAGGAAAAGCACATGACTGCCTCAGATGAATAGATGTGGGGTAAATGTCTCATTTCAGTTAAAGAATAAATTATCTTTCTCATAGAAATGTAAATTAAGATGGATCACAAAGCCTTTTCAGGTGCCTCTGCCTTTTAGAGCAACCTTACGCAGAAAAGCCAGTTACGACAGTGTGCGCTCCAAGAGGGTGTTCTAGAAAACACTTCCTAGGAGCTTTGCTATGGAAAGCCGTGAGTACAGGCACTACCGAAGAGAAATGAAATGGAACACATTTCCTGCCACCCTTTGTCCAGTGCTTGACGAGGAGGAACACTAGTAATTTTCCAGCACCTGTGCGCTTGCACTTGCTCTTGAGTCTGGGGAGGAGGACGCTCAGGAGTTCCACGTCACTGCCAGCCCTGTGCTCGTGAGCGAGGAGCCATCCTTGCACAACCGGGCTGAAGAGGTGTGTAAACACCCTGGTTCCTCACACGTGCATTCACACTATGACAGGCTGCCCTCTGGGCAGGGGAGCAGCCCTACCGTCCTGAAGATCAAGTTACATCTTCTCCTGAAGGGCTCTTTCTAGAAGCACCTGCGGTCTGCCAGCATTTCCAGCAGTCGTTGCCTCTCAGGGTCAGTGTGCACCCTGGCCCCAGGCCACCCTTAGAGCACCACAAAGAGCCTGGGCTTTATGTGTTTCACCCCTTCACACTCACTCCACAGCCTGAAACTTGAGCTTTTCCACAGAAGTTTGGTTGAGATTGAAAGTGATCTGATAGGATATATTCTGGTGCTTTTAACGCTCAAGAACTGTTCTCTGTGAGGTATTGGGATGCTGTTAGAGAAGATTCAAGTGTGTATATTGTATAAATTACCTATACAATATCTATTCTCATGCACTTTTTCTTTAACACCAAGAAGCGACATCAGATGTCTGCAGTGCTTTGAGCTGTTCTGTCATCAGTGGCAGGAAGTTTCTCCTGGGACATTCACAGGATTCTCTTTTTCATCGTCGCCAGCTACAGAGAAGCGTATGATAAATAACATCATTTGTATAGCACTGTCACATACATTACCTCACTTAACACTTACAATAACCCTGAATATGCAGGAAACAAGACCCATTTAAGGCTGGGAGCAGAGAGATGTTCTCTGACTGTTGAAGGAGAAGTTGTTGCCCCTTACAGGGACCCAGCCAGTGACCTTGGCTCCCAATGCCAACTTCCATCAAGTAAGCCCACTGGCTCAAACTATTACGTTAGGCCAAAGAAAAATTCCTCAACGATATCTGCCCCTAGCACAGAATCAAATTATTATTTGAAGGACAAAATCTTTTCTTATTAATTAAAAAATTTCTTAGAAGCAGCCTTGTGCATAAGGGCACACAAGATTTTTACCTTGTTCCTAGTTGTAAAATTAGCCCAGGGCCTCAAAGCAACTCCAATTGGG